AAAGAGTGGGAGTCTGAATCCAGGAAGGAGATTGAGCATCATCAGAAGAGTTGTGAAATGCTGCGGCAGGAAAAAATGGAGCTTTTGGCTCGGCTCGAAGGGTCTCAGGAGCTGCAGAGCAGGACTCGGAGTGAGCAGCAGAAGCTGGAGTCAGAAATCAGCAGCCTGAGGGACCAGCTTGCTGACTTACAGGATTCCTTCGCCAAATGCGAACTGGTCAGAGAAGAGCTGGGGAGCACAGTCAAGCAACAAGAGACCAGCATCCAAAACTTTACATTCCGCTGTGAACAGCTCGAGGCTGACCTGCAAGCTTCCAAGGACCTAACGAATAAGCTGCATGAAGAAACCAGTGCCAAGGATCAGAAGATCATCAGCTTGCTGTCTGCCAAAGAGGAAGCGGTTATGGCTGCGGTGTCTGAACTGCAGCAGCAGCATTCTGGAGAGGTGAAGGAGCTGGAGCATAGGCTGAGCAAGGAGGAAGAAGAGAAAAAAGCCTTGGAGAAGGAGAAGGGCAAATTTCTTGACAGACTTGATCGTCTCGCTGAAAAGGTGAAGGTGAGCAGGGAAGAAAGCAAGCAGCAGAAGGCACAACTGGAGTCCTTCACCAAGTCCATGTCGTCGTTGCAAGATGACAGAGACCGCGTCCTGCGAGACTACAAGCAGCTCGAGGAGCGTCACCTTGTTGTCATCTTGGAAAAAGACCAGCTGATCCAAGAGGCTGCTGCTGAGAACAACAAGCTCAGGGAAGAGATCAGAAGCTTTCACAGCCGGGTGGATGACCTCAACTCCGAGAACGCCAAGCTGAGCGCGGAGCTGGTGCGGTACAGAGAGGACCTGAACCAAGTGATTTCAATCAAGGACTCCCAACAGAAACAGCTCCTCAAAACACAGCTTCAACGGATCCAGACTCTGGAAAAGGAGAAGGCAGCTGTGGAAACGCAGCTGAAGGAGTCCGAGCAGGCTCAGGATGATCTCAGGAAGTGCGTGGAGGCCTTGAGAGAGGATAAAGCCAGTATGTCCCAAGAGATTGAGACCCTTACATCCTCTCTGTCTGGCGTGCAGAGTGAGATGGCTGCGTTGCATGAGGGGGGTCCTGTGGCGCAGTGTCAAGCTCAGCTGAAGGCTCGAGAGGAAGAGGCACAAGAGCTGAGTCACAAGCTCTCCCTCTCGCAGAAAAGAACCGCAGAACTCGAGGAGGAACTGGTGTGTGTCCAAAGGGACGCAGCCAAGAGAGTGGGAGAGGCTGAGGACAGGCTTCGGAAGGAGCTGAAGCACCTACATCACGATGCAGGGATAATGAGGAATGAGACGGAGACGGCGGAAGAGAGAGTGGCGGAGCTGGCCCGGGACTTGATGGAAATGGAGCAGAAATTTTTTGCGGTCGCGGATGAAAACAAAGATCTCAGAGCTCAAATTCAGTCTTTTGGGAAGTCCATGAGCTCTCTGCAGGACAGCCGGGACCAGGCCAATGAAGAGCTTCGTGTCTGGAAACAGAAATACTCTGCAGACTTAGAGGAGCAGCAGCACCTGGTGCAGAGCCTCCAGCAAGAGGTGGCTCAGCTGCAAGAAGAGCGACATTTCACTGCCAGGGACCGAGACGCAGCGAGGTCTGAGCTGACGGAACTGCAGAAAGCCGCTGATGAAAGGGGTCTCTTGGCCCAGGTTGAGAAACTCCACCAGAAGCTCAGAGCCAAGGACGATGAGCTTCTCCGTTTGTCTTCAGAGCTGGAAGGCTCTTCCAACCAAGTGCAGTCTTTCTCCAGGGCTATGGCAAGCCTGCAGAATGAGCGAGAGTAGCTGGGCACAACGCGTAGGACGGAGGAGGTGAATCAGCGAGCAGAGGGCAGCGCTTCCACCACCCCCTCAGAGGTGCAGAGCCTGAGGAAGGCACTGTCGTCCTTGCAGAACGACAGAGACAGATTAGTAAGTCCTTGTTTTCCTTGCCCCATAGGAGATGGGGATCTTCGGGTCTTAAAATCCAGCGCAGCTGGTATTTGCAGTGTGAAACTTAATTCTCTTCGCAGGATCTGTAATAGTTGAGGTTGGAAGGGACTTTGGGAGATCACAGAATCACAGAATTCCAGACCGTTAGGGGTTGGAAGGGACCTCCAAAGCTCACCCAGTCCAATCCCCCTGCCGGAGCAGGAACACCCAGATGAGGTTACACAGGAAGGCGTCCAGGCGGGTTTTGAATGTCTGCAGAGAAGGAGACTCCACAACCTCTCTGGGCAGCCTGGGCCAGGGCTCTGTCACCCTCACTGAGATGTCCTAGTCCAACCCCCCTGCTCAAACCAGGTCAGCTGGAGCAGGTTGCCCAAGACAGGGTCCATTTGAGTGTCTCCACTGGAGGATTCCCCACAGCCTCTCTGGGCAAGCTGGTTATTTATGTATCTGGAAGTGGTTTCCAAAGCCAGTTGCTCCATCACCTTCCCAGGGATGGAGGTGAGGCTGACCAGCCTGCAGCTCCCCACGTCTTCCTTCTTGCCCTTCTTTGCTTTTTCCCAGTCTTCAGGAAGCTCTCCCAGTCACTGTGACCTTTCAGAGGTAATTTGGGTTTCCTCCCAATGCCCTTAGTGCCTGTGGGCACGCGCTGGCAGATCACGGATGTGCCACCTACGGCACCTCCTCCGACATACGGAGGCCGTGATTTCGTTGTGAACTTTGCAGGGTGGTTTTTTCTTGTTAGCTCGACTTAAAGTATGGGCTCGGAGAAATAAGATGTGGGTTCCCTGCTTAGCCCACATCTGGGGAAGCTCGTGTGTTTGATTTGTCTTAGATTTTTAGAAGAGACTACTGCAAAGACTTGGGTCTGTTTGGGGAAAGTCTGGGGAGGGACTTTTGACAAGGGCTGCAGTGCTGGGACCAGGGGGGAAGGCTTTAGACTGGAATTTGGGAGATTTCCACTGGATGTGGGGCAGCAATTCCTGGCTGTGAGGTGGGGAGGCCCTGGCCCAGGTTGCCCAGAGAAGCTGTGGGTGCCCCCTCCCTGGCAGTGCCCAAGGCCAGGTTGGCCGGGGCTTGGAGCAGCCTGGGCTGGGGGAGGTGTCCCTGCCCATGGGGTTGGACTGGGGGGGTTTGGGGTCCCTTCCACCCAAACCCCGCTATGATTCTGTGATTTTTTGACATCTTTATCTATTTTAATGTGTCTGTGTCTGTGTAGTCTCTGGCACAGCGCGGCTCAGCAGGTTTCAGAGTTCCAGTTGCTGGCCGGACTTTTACAACCATTTTCCACTGGTGCTTGCTGTGTTTGTTTTCCCTGCTGTCGGTTCACAGCAGGCTCTGTCAGGCTGTCTTAAACACGTCTTCCTTCTTGTCCGTGTGGTGTCTCAGTCGTCCGTAGGTCTGCGTCTCCTCTCCTGTTCCGCTGACCTTGCACGTCTGTGCAGCGCTGCTGGTGCTCAGATGGACGCTCAGTGGAGGGGTCTCCTGGCTCACCGAGTACTTCCCTGTCTCCAGAATCAGTCGCATCTTCTCGCCTTCGAAAACCGATTGCAGTGATGTGTGTGTAATGACAACTGATTGCTAATTGCAGTCTGAGCAGGCTGCCCAAAGGGTTTTAGTGCCTCAGCTCCCTGGTTTACAGCAAATACCAACGGCAGGAGTTGCTCTTAACCAGCTCCTCCTGTCTCACTTCGATTTCCTCTGAATGAGGGAGTTAATATTGTAACCTGGGGTCTTTTTGCTGATGCACATCAAATCTTCTAGGAAGGTCTCAACACTCACTGCTATTAATAACAGAAACCCCCGAGTTTTTTCTGGGCAGTTGTTGGTAGAGCGCTGTGATCGCTGACTCAGTGTCTCGTTTCTGTCGTCTGAATGTGAGGTTTTTCCTCAGTTACCGAAATATCGGCTCAATAACTTCCTAAGCCCAGTCTGTAGGGGTTACACAGCAAGACCTTCTTTAATTCAGCGCTGGGAGCAACCGGGAGTCGTTTCATCAAGCGAATGCTCCACGTGTTAGCAGTTGGCAGTAGCTTATAAGTGCCTTACACGTACCTATCCATGACATAGAAGGTTTTCATATTCACTACATTCCCCGTAACTAATTAAAATATCTGCACAGTAATTGTGCACGCTCAGTGAGCGTGAGGAACGGTCTCGCAGTGGTCTGAGCAGTGGTCACTTCAGCTGTGTCTGCATGGAGTCGTCTCATCCGTCAGGTTCCTGAGCCTCTGTTTTCACAAGGCCTGGCTGGTCAAGTTGGTCTGAGCAGGGCGATTCATTCACTTCTTACCTATTAATTGACTTCTTACCTATTAATTAACTTCTTACCTTATCTATGCCTCTGTCTCACAAGGCAGAGGCAGCCAAGTGGGTCCCAGATCAACCCTGTCATCCTTATGCAGCTTCTTCCTGGCTCAAGTCAGCCAATACGCAGGTATAAGAGTGTAAGAACATTTCTGATATTATCCCATCTATCAGGTTACACCTCCTGATGCCACGGTGTGAAATGCCCATCGACACTCAGGTAATAAACCTGGCTGCTTAGCTGTCACCCACTGTGGTGTTTCCCTTTAACTACAGGTAAGAGAGCTGAAGAACCTGCAGCAGCAATACATTCTGGTCGGGGTAGAGTCTGCTGAGAACTCTCGCCTAAAAGCACAACTGCAGGAATGTCAGCAAGACTCGGATAGGCAGCGGCGTCTCCAGGAGCAGCTGAAGCAAGAAAGCGTTTCCTACCAGCAGGAGCTGCAGCAGCTCAGGTGAGAATTGTGTGTGCTGCTGCCTCAGAGGTGCAGGTAAACGTGCGTGTGTGTTTCGTTCGAGGAGCAGTTGTGGACAAAGGGCCAAGAAGAGAGCCAAGAGGGCTCTGGAGAACAAGCCTGATGAGGAGCGGCTGAGGGAACTGGGCTTGTTTAGCCCGGAGAAGAGAAGGCTGAGGGGAGACCTCATCACCACCTCCAACTGCCTCAAGGGAGCTTGTGGAGAGGTGGGTGCTGGGCTCTGCTCCCAGGTGATGGGGGATAGAACAAGGGGAAACGGCACCAAGCTGTGCCAAGGGAGGTTCAGGTCAGAGAGAAGGAGGAAGTTCTTTCCTGAGAGGGTCGTCAGAAGCTGGCACAGGCTGCCCAGGGACGTGGTGGAGTCGCCATCCCTGGATGTGTTTAAAGAGCGGGTAGACGAGGTACTTAGGGATATGGTTTAGGGGGTAGACAGGAACGGTTGGACGTGATGATCTCAGAGGGCTTTTCCAACCGAGCCATTCTGTGATTGATTCTGTGAAGAAAGCCCTGAGGTGTCACTAAATCGCTTGGCCCTGTTTGCCTTGTCCAGCTTTTGCCTCAGGCTTGTGGTGAGGGATTGCAGCCCAGCACACTGGAGAACAACGCCAGCGTGGATTTTCTTTTTAGTGTTTATTTCCTGCACCCAGTGGTGGCCAATGTCGCCTGTTTGAGAGGGAACTTAGGCCGTTTCTCATGTTGGAGCTTATGTATGTCATGACAGAAGTCTCCATTCCAAGCTGGTGGTCGACACCCGTTATTTACTGGTGTAATTCCTTAGAAAAGACTCCTCTTGCCTGGCTGTCTAATCCCTCGTTCCACTTGCTTTGTGTCTTCTGTTTTGTTAAAAAGTCTGCAGCTCCAGTCTAGTAAATTGTCACCCGCAACTGGACTGAACCTAGACAGACTAATAAGCTGTGACCCGAAAAATGGGGAGAAAAATCCTCTCAGGTGCTTCAGAGACCCACCCAGCAATGCCTGGACCTGGAGTGGAAGGGCAGGGGATTTTCTGTGGGAAGATGCAAGGCTTATCCACGTCCAAAGCGATAGAGAACCTTGTAGTGCTCCTTCCCATCCCCCTGCCCCAGTCTGACCCTCAGGCTGTTACCGAAATATCGGCTCAATAACTTCCTAAGCCCAGTCTGCGCCGGGAGCAACCAGGAATCACAGAATCCCAGACCGTCAGGGATTGGAAGGGACCTCCAAAGCTCATCCAGTCCAATCCCCCTGCCGGAGCAGGAACACCCAGATGAGGTTACACAGGAAGGCGTCCAGGCGGGTTTTGAATGTCTGCAGAGAAGGAGACTCCACAACCTCTCTGGGCAGCCTGGGCCAGGGCTCTGTCACCCTCACTGAGAAGAAGTTTCTTCTCCAATTGAAGTGGAACCTCCTGTGTTCCAGTTTGTGTCCGTTCCCCCTTGTCCTATCATTGTTTGTCACCGAGAAGAGCCTGGCTCCATCCTCGTGACACTCACCCTTTAAATATTGATAACCATGAATGAGGTCTCCCCTCAGTCTCCTCTTCTGCAAACTAAAGAGCCCCAGCTCCCTCAGCCGCTCCTCATAAGGGAGATGCTCCACTCCCTCCATCATCTTTGTAGCCCTAAAGCTAAGCCCTTACTTATCTGTGCCTCCATCTCGCAAGGCAGAGGCTGAAAAGTGGGCCTCAGACTAAAATCCTGTCATCCTTATGCAGCTTCTTCCTGGCTGAAGTCAGTCAATACACAGGGATAAGAGTATAAGAATATTTCTTAAATTATCCCATCTATCAGGTTACAGGACTAACCCTTCAGATTTCCCAAAGTTGGAAGCAGCTTACAGATTGAATTTGATTTATCTCCTGATAAAAGAAAAGGAGATTTATTTCCCGTCCAGCTTTCACAATGTAAACGAAGGCCTCGTGTTTGCGTGCTGGGGTCAGTGCTGTGCTTCTGGTGCGTTTATCGCTGAGTTGTGGTGACAAGTGGCACTGTCAGTGACTTGCTTGACAAAACTCTGTCCAGGAACACCAAAACAGTGTCCAGGAACACCAAAACAGTGTCCAGGAACACCAAAACTCTGTCCAGGAACACCAAAACTCTGTCCAGGAACACCAAAACTCTGTCCAGGAACACCAAAAGCACAAGCATTGAGCAATCTGCGGAGCGGACCCAAATCCAGGACACCTCCTTAAACCTGCTTGTAAGGTTCCTGTACTGAAGGGGGTGGTTTTGTTTCGGTTGAGTTATAAACCTGATTTTCTGGCATGGGGAAATGATAGGAAATAGACTCGTCCTGAGCTCATTCTGGACGTCAGCGGCGATACTGGTAACGTTGCGGTCATTTCCTTCGTGTCGTACTGGGCAGACAGGAGAAAAACACCTGGGAAAAGCAGAACAGCAGCATGAAGGAGCAGTACCTGGTGGCCATAGCAGAAAAAGACAAGGAGCTGAGCCATTTGCAGAGGATGATGCAAGAAATGAGGCCGCTCCTCGGCAAGCCCCAAGCTGTGGAGGAGTGGCACCAAACCAAGGTGGGTGGAAATGAACGGGTTCTTTACTGCACCGGGATGTAAGGCTTGAAATTGAGGCACGTGTTGCTCGTGTCCAGCTCTTATGGACTGTAGGGTTGGGTTTTGTTGTGGGCATCACGAGGACTGTACCAGTGAAAACCTTCGGAGATTTCGGGCATGCTCTTGTGTGTTCTTCCCTTGGTTCCTGATGTTTCTAGAAAGAGAAAAGAGCCAGGGCTTCTCGGGCACCTTGGGTGCTCCTGAGCAGTGTGGGGCTTCTCAGGTATTTCTTCCTGGATATTTTACAGTTGCTTCTTGCGCTGCGTTTGAGCCCAGGGTCTTCTGGTTCGGTTCTCCCTCGAGCATCACATTCTCATGTTTGAGTTTTTATTGCTGTTTTTACTGTGATGGGAACCCACGATCCTGGCTTAAGCCCAGAGAGGCTGAGGATTGAACACTGGCCTTTCTCCCTTCTGTCCCCTGTATCTCAGTCCCAGAAGAGGAGTGGAATGTGTTGAGTGTTTGTCTTGCTCTAGGGAAGGATGCTTGCCTGCTGCAGGTACAATACCATTGCATTATGAGCAAGGGAGGAACTCTCCTGTAACATCTGTTATGTCCCAGTGAGAAGCTCTTATGTCAGTGAAGGAGGGAGGAAATCTCCCCATATCCCTTTCACAGTCACAGAATGTGAGGACTTGGAAGGGACCTGGAAAGCTCCCCCAGTGCAACCCCTGCCACAGCAGGATCACCAGAGCAGTCACACAGGAACACCTCAGGGCTTTGGGGGTCTCCACACAAGGAGACTCCACAACCTCTCTGGGCAGCCTGGGCCATGCTCTGCACCCTCACACTCACAAACTTTGGCCTCATCTTCAGCTTGAACCTCCTGTGCTCCAGCTTGGGACCATTGCCCCTTGTCCTGCCATTGGCCATCCCAGAGCAGAGCCTGGCTCCTTCCTCCTGACACTGCCCTTTCCCAATGGATCCCCAGGAATGAGGGCACCCCTCAGGCTCCTCTGCTCCAAGCTCAAGAGCCCCAGCTCCCTCAGCCGCTTCCCACCAGGCGATGCTCCACAGTGGTCACTTCTCCAAGTGATAGTGCTTGGATGGTGAGGATACATGGCAAGGCCTCTGTGTCACCATGGCTTCCGGATCCACACCTCATCTCTGTGGCCCTGCTGGACTCTTTCAAGCAGTTCCTGTCCTTCTGGAGCTGAGGGCCCAGCACTGCACACAAGATTGCAGCTGTGGTGTGAGCAGGGCAGAGCAGAGGGGCAGGAGAACCCCTCTGCCCTCCAAGCACCCCCTCCCATCCAGCCCAGGCTGGCGTTGGCCTTCTTGGCTCAAGGGCACATTGCTGCCTCCTGGGCATTGCTGCCACCAACACCCCAGGGCTTTTCCAGCCACGCAAATATGCAAAGAAGAAGCTGGAACAATGTGCATGTGATGCTTTCCAGGAGAATTCTTCAGTGCTGACCTTTTAGTCTGCGTTGAACCAGAGTGGTGTGGACGTTGCTTTGGGTTTCTTGTTTTTTCTGGTTCTCATTCATACACCTTTTCCCCCTTCCTGTATTGTACACGGCTTTGAGACAAGGTTTGAGAAGGACCCATCGTATGAGCAAGATCAGGGATGTTTCCTCATTCCACGTTTGCTGTTTAGTTTGAGCGGATCAAGATCCAGGCCTAGGAATAACGCTGGGCTTTGACCTTGGTATAGCAGAGAGGCTATGGCTGATGGGAGAGTGGGTCGCCATGTGTGCAGGGTCTTTTTCATTGCTGTTTCCTCGGCAGATCTCTTCAGAAGCTCTGAGAGGGGACTTCTCAAGCCTGGAAACAGAGACCAAACACCTCCAGGCTCAGCTCTGTGACAGCCTGAAAGAACTGCACCAAAAAGAGCTCCGGATTCAGCAGTTAAACAGCAAGGTACCGATTATCTCATCTTGCTTGCAGAGTCTGGGATGAGGAATGTGGGCTCTGCACTTCTAATGCAGATGTTTCTCCTCATGTCCAGTCGGACTCCTCCAGACCCTTACTCTGTTTTCTGCCACTATCAGAAAGAGTTTGGCTCTGTTTGCTTTATGACTCCCTTTAATTAAATTGCAAGCTGGCTGTCCAGCCATTGCTCGTTGCCTTTGAGCCCAGTGGTGCAGCCCATTTTTTACTACGTAGCAGTGCATTTGTTTGGTTCATAGCTCCTCAGTTTCCAACTGTGAATACCCTTAAAAGCTCTGTGTCCTGGAGCTGGCTGGGAGGGAGCTCACTTTCTTCACAGCAGCTCCTAGGGTGCTGTGTTGTAGATTTGTGACTAAAGCAGCGTTGGTCGTAGAATCGTTGGGTTGGAAAAGACCTTTAAGATCATCGAGTCCAACTGTAACCTGTCCACTGCTAAACCACATCTCTGAGTACCTCAGCTGCACACCTTTTAGACCCCTCCAGGGATGGGGGCTCCCCCACTGCCCTGGGCAGCCCCTGCCAGGCCCTGAGAACCCAAATTA